AAAAATAATTTTAAAAACTTTACAATTTCTTATTCTTATTCTTATTTCAAATACATGGATCTTCGTACAGATTCGGCGGGAGGGGAACTTGAGGCCAGTGGTTCTCACATTTTTCAACGCGCACGCAATTCAACATGACAGTTTTGGACCGCGGCACGCAATTCAATACCTACCTGCCACCCCTCGGGACGCAATTCGAGGGGCCGCACGCAATTCGGGTGCAGCCTAAAATACTATACTTTTGAAAGCATTTATTATTTTTAAATTATTGTTCTGTTTTTTTGAAGTATTATGTGATATATGTTCAAAATATTTTTTTTTGGTGCTTTAAATATTACTTTTGAAATTATTTATTTTTCAACAAATTTTTTGATATAAACTAACCGTTAAAATTTTTTTATTAATTTTATTTCACCAAAAGTAACTATGTATGTGTATCTAAACTGTCTTTAAGTAAATTAATAAATTACTATAAAGTGAAAATTTTAATAAAATCTTTACTCAAAAAAAAATCGGAAATAATATATCAAATGAACCACCAGAACGTAAAAAATTTTATATGAATTTTGCCAATATTATGCAATTTAACCCATGAAAACTGACTTTTAAAAATAAAATATTTTTTATACAATCATGAAGAAACTACATGCGAAAAATTTTATCTTTGAAACTCGACTTTTCAAATTTAAAATTTTAGTATGAATAAGTTGATAAATTTTTATTGATTATTTACGATTTGGCGTTAAAATTGTATAATGACTAATGAATTAGTAAACAATTAGTAGTTTTAACTAATCAATTAGTAATTTGCGCCCCCTGGAGCCGCATTAAAAAGTTACTAATTGAATTAGTTAAACCAAAATAACTATTTGAATTAGTAAGTTTTACTAATTATTAGTGACTCACTGTTTGCTTTTTGAATTAGTAAGATTCTACTATTAATTAGTTATTTTTAACTAATTCAGATTTAGAGAGCGTTTTTCAATGTAGCCAAAAAGAAAAATAATGCTTCGCAAATGAAAAAAAAAAAATTACTAATTTAATTAGCAAATTTTTGAACCGATAATTAATTATTAGAAGTAATTAGCGTATACTACAGAACCGGAAACAAATATATAGATATATATATATATATATATAAGAGAAAGAGCATTTTATCTTATCCTTTTATAAAGAGGGATAATAACATCTCATTCCTCCCACTCAATGTTATTCTCTCGCGAGCGCGTGAATTGGCGACGAGAGCCGCGTGGAGTGGAAGATTATTATTGCATTTGGCGCGAGTCAAAGTGCTCTACAGTGGAAAAGCGTAGGTCGTGGTTTGACCCAGAGTCCGTTGGGAGCCAACCGCGAGAGACATCATAGTCGAGATGAGAGAGAGAGAGGAAAAAAAAGAAGAGAGAGAGAGAGAGCTTTGCGCACCAGGCAAAACGTTAATACACGTGCACCTTGAGGCGCATTCACGAGAAGAGAACCAGTCAACGTTCGAAATCCACCATCATCACTCGTATCGCAAACAACGCTCTTTCTAATCTTCATTCATATTTCAATCCAAAAAAAAATACCTAGAAGAATTTTCTAAAAAAAAAAAATAAATTCCAAGACTCCAAAAAGTGTGCGAAAATTAGAGACTAGTGCCAGTGATGTAAGAAATCATCAATCATTCCAAGATGATTATTGAGAAGAAATGAGTCAAGAAAATTTAGGAAAAAAAAAAAGAAAATTGCAATTAAAAGGCAATCAATAAAAATTAGATGATGTCAGTTTCAGTATAATGTTATTAAGAAATTATTAAGGAAGGTATTCCGAAAAAAATGTCAACAATAAAAAAAATACAGCAAATTTTGATCAACATAAAGAGAAGATAAAACAAGAAAATGACTGAAATAATAACAAATTGAAAAATTCAACAACAAATAAGGAAATAAAATCCGATCGAGAAATTTGACATAATAATTTTACAGAAGGTAACACAACTAAAAAGATTTTTGCAATTAATATTTATTTGGAAGAAGGCAAAAGAATTTTGGCAGAAAATATATTTTTTAGATGACGGAAAAAATATTTTGCAGAAACTAATTAGAAGATATTCAAAAACAAAAATATTTAGAAGACATTTGAAATTAACAGATATTTATTAGAAGCGCTTTCAAAATTGAAAAATATTTATTCGAAGACATTCAAAATTACAAGATATTAAAAATCAAAAAAAAAAAATACTTTTGTCGAAACCAAATTTTTGAAGACATTGGAAATTTTGCAAAACGATATGCATTAAAAAGATAAAAAAAACACTATACATAAAATATTTATTCGAAGAAATTTAATAAATTTGCAGATGTACAAAATAAAAGTAATAAAGAATCAAAAAACAACAAAATTGTTAAAATTATTTTTTCGAAGAAGAATAATTTTTTTTTTTTCGAAAAAAGCAAATAATGAGTGCGTGTAAGCACATAAGCGCAGATTCATTGATAAATCAACAAGAATGACGGCATAAATTACCTCTCTATGTTATATATGAAGAAACGGATGTATGGAAATGTTTTTTACGCAACATTGTATATTATGAAGTAAGGAGGCAAAGTAAGTGATTTGCGTCGAGAGAGTGGTATGTGCATAATGAATTTTTTGACTCATTAAAATACCGTTGAATCTCTTTCTCTCGCAGTACATCCATATGTACACTTTGGAATATTATACCGGATCAACATTACCGGTGCGCAAAGACGGTAATTATGCATCAGGAGTGGTGTCAGTGTTTGCTGAACCGACAACTAAAACAAATCGAGTAGACACTTTACGGAAAGTCTTTGTTCTATAAACTCTATATTTATCATGAATTATTATGAGTGTTTGTTTAATTTTATATATGTGCCAAAAATTTTTCAACAATTCACTTTATGAAAGAGCAGTGTGATATAGTGAATAAAAAAAAAAAAAATAATTGTGGTTTATCCTTTTTGGGGCAGTGAACTGTTTTTCTGCATTTTTATCATCAAATTTTCAGTTTGGAAGCAATTTTCAGTTTGGAACTAATTTTCTGTTTGGAACCAACTTTCAGTTTGAAACCAATTTTCAGTTTGGAACCAACTTTCCGTTTGGAACCAACTTTCAGTTTAAAACCAACTTTCAGTTTAAAACCAATTTTCAGTTTGGAACCAACTTTCCGTTTGGAACCAACTTTCAGTTTGAAACCAATTTTCAGTTTGGAACCAACTTTCCGTTTGGAACCAATTTTCGCATTTTAAAACAAATCAGTGATTGAGATTTTAATATTCCAACGAATAAAAAAATTTTTAAATCCAACAAAATTTTCAAAGTGAAATTTATTTTTACAGTGATTTTGTGTGGAGAAATTTTTATTTTATCGTAATTTTCACATAGACAATTTTTACAGGGAACCAAAAAGTTTATAGGGAACAAAAGTGCGCGTGAATGTTTAGAGATAATAAAAAGGAAAAAAAAATATTTTAAGTGGAAACGAATTTCTATTTTCTTTTACAAAAGAAAAAAACCGTTCTTATCTAGTGAAACACAAACAAAAGGATTATATTTTGTATACCAGAAGGAAGAGAAGATAAAATTTGCCTCAATTTGGAATATTAATAATATATGACAAAGATCATCTTGGAAGATAAATAAATTTACCTAATCATGGAATAAAATTTCTTTTGTTTTACATTTTGCAAGTAAGATAATAAATTTATCTGAAAAAAAAAATTATTTGCATTTGGAAAGAAAGAAGGTTACAATTTTTTGTTCTTTTATAAAGAGAGGAATAATTATATTTTGAACAAGAGGGTCTTTTTTATATAGTGGAACACATTTTTCCCAAGAAGGATTTTTTCATATACTGAAACTTTTATACTAAAATTTTGTATAGAGAAAAATTGTCTTATAGTGAAACCCATTTTTATATAAAAAGACATATTATTTTTATAACGGAATATATTTTTATACAAAAAACAAGCTACAATGAAGTATTTAAAAAAAATTCAGGTAATTAAGCACATATCTTGAAATAAAATATAAGAAAAAAAAGAAGAAGAAAAATAAGAAGAAACACGAATTAAGGATAATGAATTCTAATAATTAATACAAAAATAATAAAACACTAATAATTTCTACAGAAATACCGGAACTATTGAACTGAAGAATTAATGGAATAAGAAAAACAAATGCTTCTAGTGTCACCAAAGAATTGCAGTAAAAGAGATAAAAATAAAAAAATAAATAACAAAAAAAAAGTGTAAAATTGTCAATTTACAAAGTAATTATGTAATTCAAAGAATTATAATTGATACGCTCGATTATAAATATACAGTGAATGAATTCAACTGTGACAGGATGTCAATCTTTCGAAACAAATAGTTTTTTCTTTTTTTTCTTTAATCTTTGAAATTTTATGTTACGCGCGTTATAAACAAGTCTGAGAACACGCGAACATATATTTATATTGATGCTTAAAATAGCTATAGATATTCTTCACCTTCAGTTTTCATGGCGAAATATTGTAACAAAGATTATATAAAAAAAAAAAAATTGTATGAATGAAGAGAATTTTAACAATGGAACTATTAAATAAAGAGAAAAAAAAAGACAATGAATCATTTAAAGGATTGAAAGTATATTGAGAAGAGAAGCTGATAAATCTATATAATACGCTAATTAAACACAATTAATTAATTCACTAATTAAAAGGCAATTGATCACTTAATTACTCATACAATCTTCTTCATTGAAAAATAATCTTGATTAATAACTTTATTAACTGAAAATTTCAAAATGATTTTAATTTTGAGAAGAAAATAATACAAAATTTCAAATAAGAACAAAATAATAATAAATAAGTAATTAAAAATTATTTTTTTTTTATTATAAACCAACAAACGAAAATTGAATGATTACATTTATGTTAATTTGCATATATGTAAAATAATTTACATATAAAAAGAAAGCGTGAAGGTCAGAAAAAAATAGAATGTAAAGTGAAATGAGGACTGTGATTACTATTTTATTTTATTTATTTTTTTTTTTTTTAATGAAAAATATGGAAAGTCTCGAGGTAATATTTCTGAAGATTAACTTTCAGTTGAACAATGAGGAAACATAATCGCGTGAAAATCAGACCGTAGAATAACAATTTTAGTGATTTGTTCTTCATATAAGAAAATCAAGGATTGGGACTGATAATTTTACGTAAGAACTGTCGATTAAAGTGATTATTATTTTTCTCCACTAGTTCCGGAATTCAATGCTCGTTATTATAATATATGTCTAGGAATTTGTATATTAAAGACATATATAGAAGAGCAAAAATCCGTTTCTTCTTCTTAAAAAAAAATTTTTTTTTTTTACTTCTCCATAAATTCACTTAACCCTGTTCTACGCTCCAGGAAGTGTTCGCCGGTCAGGCCACAAAACGCTACTTTCGAGCCTCTCATGACCTGTAATTACGGAAGTGTAAACACGGGTGTGAACATTATCTTTTTTTTTAAAATTAAAATAAATTAATTCAACGACTGCCAAATTAAATATAAATTCAATAAAAAATTGTTGGGAATAAAAACGAAAAATTTTTTTTTTGTTCCAAGGAGAAGGAATAAAAAAAAATTCAAAAACAAATTTTAGGACATAAAAGTTCAGTGAAATAATAAATGAATATAATAAAAAAATAAATGAGCAAATAAAAAAAATGAATAAAAAATAAAAAACATAAGTGAATGAATAATTAATAAAAAATATAAAAGTTCAGTGCAAAATCAAATTAAAGAAGGAAATATAACATTAAAAAAAAATAAATAAATGAAATGCGATTTTTTCCGAATGTTAATTACAAACTGTTACCATACAGGTCACGTGATAGTGCAACGGTGCGTAATTTGCAAGAATGTTGTATACCCGTTCACGTGTACTTTTGCCAAGATGACGATGATGAACCGTTAATTTTCATGAGTGTTACGATTGATTCAAGGAAATAGAAGAAAAAAAAAAATTTACAAAAAAAATAAAATGGGAAACTCAAGATCTCAACCAAGTAGAAAAAGTAAATCGCAATTTTTACTCTATTTTCTTCAGCGCACATGGAGTGCAGTTATCGATTCACAAACTAAAAATGATCGTTACGAGAACACGGATCGAGATACCGATTTATCATCAAGATGCAGTGGATGCAAGGGATGTGGTTATCAACAGGACAGTCTTATCTTCGACAGGTAAAGAGAATTAATTAAATTACAGTAAATTATCTTTTAATGATAAAATTATTATTACCATTATCTGTTGATGGTAAAGTAGAAAATCATAGTTACCGATACCAATTGAAGGTAAAGGAGAAAATCGTTTTATACGATTTGTGATCGGATAAGGCAGAAATCTATTTCACTGACAATTGATAATTATCGGATAAAGTAGAGAACATAGATCATTTAAAGATAAAAGTTAACATGCGTGAGAACGCAAAAATTGAAGATTTATCGATCAAGATCTGTCGATTCGTTCCGGGTTGCAATTTAATATAAAAAATTGTGAGATAGTATTTTCCATTGAAAAGATGAGGAATTTATTATTTAGTGTTTTTTTTTTTTACCAATCAATAATTTTTCTATTTAGTTTAATAATAAATGAAAATTTAATTATTATTAATAATTTAATTATTACTATTGAATTAATTAATAATTCTGTTATTTTAAAATTAAATTTTTTTTACTTTGAAAAATAACTAATTATTTTTCTTAAGTTTAATTGTATAGTTAGTCCAATTTTTTATCCGCATTGTTTTAGAGGGCAATGAATATAATTGTAATTCATATATTATTATTTTTTTTCTCATAATGAGATATCTTTATTTGCCAGTACATATATACAAAAGTAATGAAGGAGAATGGATTAATTTCATTGTACTTTCACGAGTAATGAAATTAAATTATAATTTCAATTATATATGATCAGGGTCTCATTTCCGCTTGTAAAATTGCTAATTCGATTCTTTTTTTTCAAAAAGTTCTCATCACTTTCTATATATATATATATATACCAGAAAATTTATTTTTCCTATCACGCAATTGAAATCTAAAATGAAAAATTATCTATAAAAAATAACGAAAACAATTTCTCTACTAGATTTAAATCTATATTTATAATTTTTCTAGAAAGATTCTATTTTCAATGGAATTTTTTTCAAACAATATCGCATATAGTTGTTTAAACAGTTTTCTTCTACTTATATATGTTCTTCTTTGTTTATAATGCGTGAACGCGCATGTAAAATGGCTTCGAAGAAAAATGATTAAAATCTTTGTTGAAAAACGGTAATGAACTTTACGAACCATAGGAATATTAGTTTTGCAAAAAAAAAAAAAAAAAAAAAAAAAATTCATATGCCATTTAACTTTAAAGAGTAGAAGAATAATAACGTTCGTTATTTCTTGCGTCATAATTTTTGTTTGAGAGGATGGAGTTGTTAGCACTTTTTTTCTTTATTACCAAATGTTTCGCACCTTTCTTTTTTATAACGCCGCAAAGATTACATCATATGGAAAGAAGAGCAATTGATAGATATGACTGTTATATAAATGAATTGTACTATTATCCTATAAACCTTTCTAATCAATTTTTTGAGAGACGATTTTTATTTTATTTTTATTTTATTTATTCTATTTATTTTGTTGATTTTATTTATTTTAATTATTTCATTTATTCTATTTATTTTATTTTTTTATTTTTTCGATTAGTTTATATTATTGTAATAAAGTTATTTTAATTAAAAATACCCAACAATTCGAAAACACAATTTCAGTGTAAATTTTTCTTTTTTTATTGCAAAAAGTTAGCAAAAAAACGAGAATTTTTTTTTCATTAGCCAATAGTGAATTCTCTTTAAATTTATTAAATAATAAAAATTACGCTGATACGGATTTTAGTGAGTTAAATGAAAAAATTCTTCTTGAAATCGAATAAAGAGCTAAATATTTCTATATATATATTTTGTTCGGTAAAAAAGAATTTTTTGTCACACTTTTAAAGTATCACTCATATAATTTTTATTATAAATAAATTTATTTATTTAAATTAATTTATTTAAATATATAAATAAATAAATAAAGACCTAGAATTTACTCTCTAAATTTGAATTAGTTATAATTTGTTCACTAATTTAAATTAGGGGAAAATTACTACTAATTTTTTTTAGTCATTTTTTACTAAAACATTAGATAAAAATAAATATTACCAAAACAAATTAGTAATATTTTATTAAAAATTAGTAACTAATTTTTCACTAAATCTTTAGTAAAAAAAAATTAAATCAAATTAGTATTATTTTACTAAAAATTAGTGAGACAGTTTTCGCTAAACATTTAGTAAAAAAATATTACTAAATCAAATTAGTAATAGTTTACTAAAAATTAGTGAAAATTTTTCTACCAATTTTTAATCATTTTTCACTAAAACTTTAGTGACAAAAAAAAATATTACTAAATCAAATCGTAATAGTTTATTAAAAATTAGCAGTGATTTCTACTAATTTGAATTAGTAAACGAATTCTCACTAATTCAAATTTAGAGAGTAAACTGAAAAAAAATTATTTGATTGAAATAATCGGTTACTAGACTATTATCAAATAAATACTTATTTATTTGTATCAAATAATTATTATTATTTGAGTCAATTAAATGGTCTGTGTTTTAAATACAGAAATTATTGGTTAAAATACAATTTATTTAATTTAATAAATAAAAATTATTTAGTTCAAGTAAATATTTATTTGATAATAGTTAAGTATTCGAGTATTTGAATCAAATAAATTTTTTTTCAGTGTATTCTCAAAATTTTTTTTTATATTTACATAAAAATATTTATTTTATTTGAAAAATAAGTTTATTGATTATAAATAATAATTAAGTATCATTTTAAAAGAATGAAAATAAAATTATTATTTTCTTTTGATTTCTATTTATATAAATATTTATTTATAAATATTTTTGCAAATAAAACTCGAGAATTTGGAAATAATTATTAATAAATATATATCGACGCCTCCCGTTGATAAGATGCCCGTTCATTTGTCAGAATAATAAAATGCCAACTCGAGCTCAGTTCAATATGAAGCTAGTTCAATTGTCAAAATAATAAAAGGCTAACTCAGTTTCCGTATAATATAATCCTATCTCGCATTAAATTCGAATTCAAGTTTTCGTAAATTAAAAAAGAAGTTTAAGTCGATCAGAATATTAATTCATACTTTTTAATGATTAATTAGTGATTAATAATTATTAATAAAATAAGAAATAGAATAAAAAACAAATAATAAAATAAATGAAAATAAAAAATATTATTAAGAGCATTTGAACCTTCGTGACGTCACAAATCATGGCGCATGACACGAAAACTTCTCAGGTATGTGAAAAGCACAATTTTGAATATTTTTTAAAAAAACCTTTTGGAAAATGTTCAGAATAACATAGACTCTGTCTGTTATGTGCGGAAAATTCAAAATTTTGCGTTTAAAACGTTTTTTAAACAATGTTAAGGTCACAAATCATGGCGCATGACACGCAAACTTCTCAGGTATGTGAAAAACACAATTTTGAATATTTTTTAAAAAAACCTTTTGGAAAATGTTCAGAGAAACATAGACTATGTCTGTTATGTGCGAAAAATTCAAAATTTTGCGTTTAAAACGTTTTTTAAACAATGCCTACATATAAGCAATTCGTGTATTTTTCCTTACTTGTGACAAACAACTTAAACATTGTTTAAAAAACGTTTTATACGCAAAATTTTGAATTTTTCGCACATAACAGACATAGTCTATGTTTCTCTGAACATTTTCCAAAAGGTTTTTTTAAAAAATATTCAAAATTGTGTTTTTCACATACCTGAGAAGTTTGCGTGTCATGCGCCATGATTTGTGACGTCACGAAGGTTCAAATGCTCTTAAAAAAGAAAAAAATTTATTTAGCCTTGAATTATTTATTACTAATATTTTTTTTTATTATAATTTTTTTATTAATTTTTTTATTTTGTTAATCATTAATTAATCATTACAAAATATTAAATAATATTCCGATCGAGTTAAAAATTTTTTATTTTACAAAAACTTGAATTCAAACTAAACTCAATATAACATTATATAATATTATTATATAATGTTAATGATTAATTAATGATTAACAAAATAAAAAAATTATAATAAAAAAAATAATATTAGTAATAAATAATTCAAGGCTAAATTAATTTTTTTCTTTTTTAATAATATTTTTTATTTTCATTTATTTTATTATTTGTTTTTTATTCTATTTCTTATTTTATTAATAATTATTAATCACTAATTAATCATTAAAAAGTATGAATTAATATTCTGATCGACTTAAACTTCTTTTTTAATTTACGAAAACTTGAATTCGAATTTAATGCGAGATAGGATTATATTATACGGAAACTGAGTTAGCCTTTTATTATTTTGACAATTGAACTAGCTTCATATTGAACTGAGCTCGAGTTGGCATTTTATTATTCTGACAAATGAACGGGCATCTTATCAACGGGAGGCGTCGATATTTTTAAATAAAAATCAATAATTTGTAAATATTTTTTCAAATAAAAATCGAGAATTGGAAATAATTATTAATAAATATATATTTTTAAATAAAAATCAATAATTTGTAAATATTATTTCAAATAAAAATCGAGAATTTGAAAATAATTATTTATAAATATTTTTTTGTGAATAAAACTCAAGGAATTTGGAAATAATTAAAAAAATTATTGAAATTTAAATATAATAGTTAAGTAAATATTTTTTTAATGAAAGTTTTTCTTATTAGTCATTTGAAAACAATTTAAAATAAGAGAATGATATCTCGAAAAAAAGTGCAATTGGATGAGTAATGAATCACGTTACGCGATGTTTAAGGCATATTATATATTGTATATAGGTATATAAGTGTGGGTTTGTGTCCATGTTATCCATTCTCCCCCACTATGCATGACGCATCTCAGGTAAACTCAGGTAACATTACAAGCAGGTGGCTACAGCGGTACTCCGTTGTCAGTAAACCTCGGGCTATCTCGAGAAGCGGTTTGTTTCAAAGTGTGTGGCTTCCGTGAAATTTCAAAAAAAAAACCTTAGAACTAAAAAAGATGATACGATACACGTTTAACGGAAAAGGTGCATTTTAAAAAAACAAAAAAAAAAAATTTTTTTTTTTTTAC